AATGAATTCATTTGGTTATTATCAAGAATGTCCATTTTGATCGATGAAGTCTGTTTAGAAAATAATAATCAGGCAGTACCGACTCTGAGTTCATTTAATTCAACTGTAAATGAAGATAAACGATGCAAGCAAGTAGTTGGGTTTTTACCCGTATTACCTTTTCCTGTAACAGATCACTCAACAGTTTATACGAGTCTAATTAATTTCAAAAGCATTTTAAGTCAGTTGGATCAAAATTATCTGGCAGTTGCATGTGACGAAGAAGTATATCGTATTGCACGACATATTAAACTGGAGAGAGAAAACGAATTTGAAAACATTATATTGTTTTTAGGAGGATTTCATATAATCAAAGTTGTCCTAAGTTGCATAGGGAAATATTTAAAGCATAGTGGAATTGAAAATGTTTTTATTAAAGCAGAATTATTCGGAGTGTTTGTAGTTGATCAAGTGTTGAGTGGGTCTAATTATTCGCGCTCTGTGCAAGGTTTTAATTTGTTGGCCGAAGCCTTAAGAAGAATACAATTTAAAGAATTTTTTACGCCTGAAAGATTACAAAAGTATGATAACGATATTGTTACAGTCTTGTTACTTCAAGGAAGTTTTTCTACAAATACCCCTGAAGAATGTTCACATTTATTTCAAGAATTAACAAAAAGCTGCAGTACGCTAATTTCAGATTTTAATGAGTTTGTTTTTAAGAGATGTTCCGAATCTGAAATGTTTAGATATTGTTTAGATTATTGGAATAATGTGTTGATATTAATTAGTCTTATGAACGATTTAATTCATGCTGATAGAATTGGAGACTGGTTATTGCATATTAAAACAATAGAGAAATTACAACCTATCTTTCATGTAATGGACCGTTCAAACTATGCAAGGTGGTGTGCTGTTTATATACATGACATGAAGATTTTAGCTCAAACTTCACCAGAAGTTTATGAAAAATTTTTGGAAGGGCGTTTTGTCGTTAAACGTTCTGATGTGCCTGGGACTTCTGTCGCAACCGATCAAGCTTTAGAGTAGACCATTAACAGATCGTCTAAAGATATTAGCGGTATAATAGGTTACACGAAAAAAAAGGAGAGTGTTGCTGTTTGGAATCTCACTTATCATGAATTGTTAGCAATAACGTCATACTTAAAAGAAATCGCTTACGTTAATAACGATAATGATGAATTAATTATCCACCATGGTTACTCGACAGCTTCGACTAAGAATTCGGAGAATGCAGTTGGCAAACTATTAAATTATTTTGAACTAAAGAAGATAAATCCTTTTACACCCGAAAATCAAAGTTTGAAAAATTTGGTAACGCAGGAGCTTGTTCACACGAGTGTAACAAAACAAATTCTAAATATTTTTGACGACGGACTTATTTTATATAAAACCCCCCGAAAGGGTTCCCACCTTGAAGTAGTCGCGGGGCGGGGGCCCGCGGGACGTCTGGGGTGCCCGTAGTCCGCACTCCCCGCGGTAAATGACACGAGGCTCATATTTGACCTGCGAAAGCAGGTACGGGGCCTCGAGGTAGAAAAACCGACGGGGGGAACATTTGACCACATTTCAGGTACGCCTGGTGTTCTCGGGGGCTGCGGGCTCCCGTGCCGGGGCGGGTGGTGGGGCTTATGGTCGCAAACGGGGTCCTCCCGCTCAGGGGGGGGCACGTGGGCGGCCAACTAAGAGGAACCCCCCAAGCTAGGGTGTGAGCTACCGTGCCTGGAGCTGCATGGCGCAGGGGGAGTTGCGTCGCAAACGGTGCCTCCTGGATACCGGGCGAACTCCAGGAGTACGGAGCCAAGCCCCGGGCATTCGCGGCTCTGCCCGGGTGAGATCGCGCGACCGCGGTACTCGTGGGATCAATATGGAGACTTCAAATACTAATACAAATTTTAACAAAGTCCTCCAGGGGGTGGCTTCCTTAGGAAGCGAACAACCGGAGGAGAATATAGCAGCTAGTGCGGGTCTACCCAAGACCCGCATTCGCTACAGTGGGGCTGCAAGGCTTCGCTACAATAAGGAGAAGGTGAGGGCTGAAAAAGCCATCTCTCCTTCTTCTACAAATACCCCTACTCCGCCGGGCGGGGGGGGTGGTGCGGCGGTGGGAACGCAGAAGCGTGCCAGACCGGTGCACCAGACGCCCAGTCCGACTGAGTATCGCCCGGGCAAGAGACCCAAGGTCACTGACCAAGGGTCGTATGCCCGGACGACTAAGGGCATGATCAGGATGGCCTTTGTTCCAGAAGGCTATCCTGGGAAAAAACTGGGTTCCAGTGAGGGGGGAAGATCAGGCGACTGGTCAGGGGGCACATCCTCGAACTTCCCGAGGATGGGCTGGCGCCCACCTTCACTGGCACCTGGGAGAGGGATGGCGCAGTTATTTTCAACTGCGCCAACCAGCAGACGGTGGATTGGCTGAAAAGCCTTTCCACCGTGATTAAGATCGGAGGCACTGCTTTGCATGTGCTACCGGCCGGGGAGCTACCTAAGCGCCATCGGGTGGTGGTACATGTGGAGGAGTCAGATTTGGCTGTCGAGGAAGCTATAAAGCTTCTCGACAGACAAAACACGGGTCTGGGCGCCAGGGAGTGGGTCGTCGTTAGGGGGAGCGAAAGTAGGGACGCGAAAAGCGCCCACTTCGCTGCTCTGATCGGCGATCGCTCGCTGGAGGTCCTAAAGACCTGTGGTTTTAAACCCTTCTGCGGGCTGGGTCGGGCAACCGTAAGGTTGCTTGACAAAGAACGCAAGGAGGGAGTGACTGCCGGTGCGAGCGGGTCAGCTTAGAAATGGCGAGACTCGCAGTACCAATAGTACAAATTAACTTGCATCACAGTAAAGGCGCCTCGGCGATTTTAGCCAGGAGCATGGCTGTGATGCAGACAGCAATAGCAATAATTCAGGAGCCTTGGCTCCTGAATAACGCTATAATGGGTCTGAGTGGCTGTGGTACTATTTATAAAGCAGTCACTCAGAACAAAATTAGGACCTGTATTGTAACTAAGGGACTAAATGCTATTTTTATGTCACAGCTCAGCGACGGAGACACCACTGTTATACGGACAAGGGTGGACTACGACGAGGACAAGTACTTGGATCTACTCATAGGGTCAGTTGACATGCCTTATGACTCCCAAGAAGAACC